ACACACACACACACACACACACACACACACACACACACACACACTCAGTGCACATGCTGCCACGTGTTGGACACACACACAGCTGCCACCTCCTCTGTTGTCTCCTCTGGATCTCCCAGATTTTGGCTCCATGGTTGCAGAGATAGGACGAGCTGAAGCTGTCAGATCTCTCTCGTCTGGTTGCTGCTGGGTGTCTCTTTCCCCTTAACCTCCTCTCCCCCAGACACACAACCCTTTCCCATTTTCTCCTCTCCAGCACAAAAAGGGCTAATCCTTCAGCATTGTTGGTTGGTTTTAATGTCATGCAGAGACAGAATTACAGGCCAGACTGCAAACGCTTCACAAAGATGCACATATTTAATAACAGAGTCACACCAAAAGGAAAAATGTCGCAGCTATATTTAATCGTCAGCCAGCTTTTTATCTCTCGAACATACATTCGTTGGAATACAACTTTTCAAACCTCAGAGTATTTTTCTCTTATTTACAGTCTGGTGGGATTGTTTCAGCAAACACAACATCAAGACAGAGCAGGATGGAGTCCAGGGCAGAGAGGTGACACACAACAGACGGAGGCTCACTTCCTGCAGCGGGTCAACTCAGTTCATCCCATGAAGCACAGCAGAAAGTTCAACCAGATCTTTGAGGAGCGCAGAAGTAAATGCAGACGTGTCATTTAGCAGGTGTGAGAACAGACAGTATATAAGAATAATTCCAGCCATCAAACAAAAAACATGAACGCAACAGAAACAAAATTAAAACTCTTTAACATTGTGAAAATCTGAATGAAAAAAACAACATAAACATGTACAAGCCACATGTTGGCGCTACTGTAAACAGTAGCTTAAGTTCCTCGTAAGGCTAAACCGCTGAAGGCAACAGGAAAGCAAGGAAGAAAGTTAGTTATTAATCTCAAGAACAAAAAGAAGTCAGAGAAAAGAACAACGATAACGTTCGATTATATTTGAGAGATGGAAGAAAAAATAAAGTGTGAAAGTGTTCTGTGGTGGACACACTTGGATGAAGAGCCACCGATTCAAACGTGTTTCATAGATTCTGGGAGCAGCACAGGCTGATGTCGTCTCAAACCCAACAGAAATATGCCGTCGCTGGGACATCGGGTCAGGGTTCAAAGCCAGGAAGAACACGGGAGTTTCTGTTTGTTGGTGCGACTGCACGAGTGCGAGTTCGATTTTTGTTAGGAAAGCTTTACGTAAAGTATTAGTTCAAATCTTTTGAAGTTTGGTTTTGTTGAAAGGTTAAAAACAAACAATATCTCACCTGTTATAGATAACTCTTTAAACTTGTTTATAGAAAGTTTAATTCTGACTGGATTGATGAACTAATGGCTAGTCTGAGTGAGGCCAGGACCAAACTGGATTGCTCATTTTTTTATGGTCATTTACGTTTCACAGCAGCTAGCTGTAGCACTTCCTGTGCAGCCTGGGGCTCATACAGCAGAGCATAAGACTGATGAGCCAGCAGTCTCGTAGTTAGATGATCAGTTCAGTCAGAATCATCAACACGTAAGAAAAAAAAACTGGTCCCCATTCAGGAATCTGCAAATGGAAGTAAGGAGAAATAGCATTTCTGGTCCCAGGAGAAGTTTTAAGTCCCACCCCCTCTACATAAACAAAATAAACACCTCATTGTTTTATGAGGCACTGACTTTAATTGATTCATGTAGCTTTCGTCTTGCTCCTGTGCTTTCAAATATTTATTTTCCCATATACTTAGTACTTCTTAAATGCCTAAAAGAAAAGTCATGTGGAAACATGACTGCGGGTGGCGGAGTAGGCGGGGCTTAAACTCACTTCACCACTTGCTCTTGTCAAGGGCGAATGCTTTTCCCCTCTTCTCACTCCTCCGCTTTGCTTTTGCTCTGTCCTGTCTGTGAAACTGCTTCATATCCTCTCTCTACATATCTTCCGAACTGTAATTTTTGCTATGGATCTGTTCAGCTCATTTTTCAACGCAACAGATAAAATTTTCTCGACGGGAAGACAAGCTCCAGGCGAGCCGACTTGCCCTGATGACGCGCACGCAGCTGGATATGTCAACAATTCCTGGGGCGATTAGAAGGTGATGTGTCTATCTCTGCTGTCCATCGAGGATGTTGAAGACGTGGACATAATTGGATTTACGATAACAGGTTTCCTGCTTTTTGGAATCGGCTGGTTCCTGGTTTATCGACAAACAAGGAAGTCGTCTGAAGCTAATTTGGCACTGGTCAAGCTGCCTGCCTTACGTGATGGTTTGCTCCGTGTCTCGAGCACCCAGACTGCATTGCTTTGTGAACTGAACTGCAAATTGGATGTGATTTGTGAAAATTGCAGGCCATTTGCAGCCCCAAGGACTCACTGGCAGGATGGATCAGATCTCGGGGAATACTCTCAGGCACGGACCAGTGGTGCGTCCACTTAATTTGGACGTTTGGGATTTGTGAGGACCAGCAAAGACTCAAGGCAGACGTGAATCAGTGAAGTTCTGCCTGTTCCCAAAACAAATGTTTATCTGAATTTGTCTACCCAGCAGGCCTCGACAGGCCACCTTATCTCAATTTGCCTGGAGACCTTATAAATCTTGATGCTCTGCCCCCTCCCCTCTCCCACTGAGGAAGTCTGCGGACCTATCAGAGGGACTCGGCTGAATAAACATTGTGTCATTTCAGGACTCTTGGATTCTCTCTGGAGCTGTCCTAGGTCGACCTCGGCACCCTCGAGAGAGTTTACGGATCTCACCAGAGGGAACTGACTGATTGTACCATTCTTATCAGAACTCCTACAGTGTCTCTGGAGTGTCCTTGGACACGTTCACCGCTCTTGTCATCTCTCCTCCTCTGCAGAATGTCTGTGTCACTATGTGCTTATGTGCAGTGTGTTTTTTTCAATCTCAGGCTCTCTCTCCTCGGCCAAGGAGTGAGAGTTAGATAGGATTTTTTTGCCTCTAAATCCTACATGAGTCACTTTAATTACTTTTTGTCTGTCTAAACAGGTCTCACTTGTAAATGAGTCTTCGAGGCACAATGTGATTTATCTGTGTAAATAAAAGTTGAATAAAGCATGAGCAGCCTGCGTCACTTCCTGGAGGAATGACACTGACAAACTAAGACTAGCTTTTAGCTCATCAATCTAATCAGAATCAAACTCTTTCCTCCAAACTAAGGTCAATCTAAGAGCTATCTACAGCAGGTAAGATATTCATTGTTCAAAGCCTTTCCACAGAAGCTCACTTCAAAACATCTGAACTATCCCTTTAGTGTACTATTATTTGTACACACAGAGTGACTCAGCAAAGGCAACACGAACACCTGAAACAAACACGAAATGGAGAATAAAAACTAAACCGCGGACATGCGTCTGTGGTCTTCTTGCTTTTATGGCATTTTCTGGGTTTTATAACAGTTTGGGTGGCAGATGTGGGCCACAGTTGAATAAAACAAAGAAACTACAAAATGTGGACAGAACATGAAGTTTAACTGGAAATTTACACCAGTCGTGCACATTCATTCAAATGTTTATTAAAAAAAATAATCATTTAACTGGGTTGCTTTTAATTAACTTCAGCTACAATCCTCAGAAACCACCCAAACTATACAGGAGCTGGATTACGTTGCGGAACGATGATCGTAATACATGAATTTATTCTACGTTTTTGTCGAAACGCCTTAAACTCTAAATTCAAAGTGCTCACGGGAGCCATAATCTGCTCTGAAACCTTCCTGCTGGATGTAAACGAGCAGCAGGGTGGGCATCTACGGAGACAAAGAGTTTTATTTAAAGGACAAACAATTACAGTATTTACATCATATGACTGAGGGGAGGACTCTCTATTTTCAGGCTATCTTTATGCTTTATATTCAGAAAATAATTAATTATTCTATCTATTAAATCTGAGTTTAGTTGAAACTTTATGGTATTTACACTAAATGGCTCTTACAGTCCTGTACAGCTCCAGTGTGTTGATGTGGTTTTAGCACAAAGTGATCAGATAAGTCAAAAACACACAAGACTCTCGCTCATGTGTTGTTGCCATGGCGACAAGGACTTGAAACAGGTTGTGGCTGCCGATGAGAAGAGGAGGAGTTTCTCAGCAGCAGCAGCGTCATTTACTCCTTTCCAATTGCTTTTTTTCCAACCAGCTCCTGCATTTTCTCCTTTTTCACTCTAACTTTTCTGCTTATCCTTCCTTCCTTTGTCCCTTTTTTAATCTAGCTTGGGCTCGTTTGTCCCCTCTCCTGCAACCTTTCCTCTAACGGAGTTAGAAAAATTGACCTTTTATGTGATCTACACCTCAGGCAACTACTCCCGAAAGCTCAAACAGGAAACAGGAGGTCATACGTGTGCCACGAGTGTGTCTCTGTATGTGTGTGTTCTATCAACACTTAAGTGCATCCATTTCCGAACACTCGGTGTCCATGTCCGAGTCGTACAGCGAGAGGCCCGTTGGGTCGCTGACCGGCGACGACGGCTCTTGCGGCGATTGGGCGGGCGGGGGTGTCGTATCCTCGGAGGTGGTGTCCGAGCAAGAGTAGAGGCCCAGATCGGGGAGTCTTGAAGGAGAGCTGCTGTTGTCTGCTGAGCTGATGTAACACAGGTCATCCAGGTCCACGAACCACTCGGGCCAGAACCTCCGGCGGATGCGCTCACAGTACAAGGCCAGGTTGATCAGCTCACCTGTGAGGGACGAAGAGCTCAGTGGGAACGAAAACCCTTACCCGCATCACGACCAACAGTCTATCAAACTGCTTTTAAACCGATCACAGGTTATCTTTATTTCATCTAATTTAATCTTCAACCTCATTTTTCTTCTTCTGAAAACATTTAATTTTCCAGTGTGGTTCCTACATCAGAGCTTTGCAAGACATCTGTCAGTGTTTGTGCAAATTTAACAAAAGGATATAATTGCAAAAACTTTCTGCTCATAGAAATGCCAGAGCTGAGTAGCGTGTGCAGCTAGAACTCGTGGCCACAGGTGAGGGCAGGAACGAAGACCGAGCGGTGAACAGACAGACACAGATCACTGGGTAGTGACTGAAAGAATGAGATCGTGGATACAGGCGGTTGAAATGAGTTTCCTCCGCAGGGTAGCTGGACCCTCCTTTAGAGATAGGGTGAGAAGTCCAGTTGTCCAGGAGAGACCCAGAGTAGAACCACTGCTCCTCCACATGGAGAGGAGCCAGTTGAGGTGGTTCAAACATCTGGTAAGGATGCTCCCTGGGTGTCTCCATAGGGAGGTTCTTCAGGCATGTCCGACTGGGAGGAGACCCCGAGGAAGACGCTGGAGAGACTATGCCTCTCGGTTGGTCTGGAAACGCCTTGGGGTCCTCCCAGAAGAACTGGTAGAGGTCCTGTGGAAAGAGATGTCTGGGCCTCCCTGCTCAAGCTGCTGCCCCCATGACCTGACTTCAGAACAAGTGGAAGATGATGGATGGATGGATGGATGGATGGATGGATGGATGGATGGATGGATGCCTTGCATGCTAAAGTTTTAAACAAAGACCACATGCAAGCTGCTAGTGCTTTTTTTTTGATAGGGATAACTTTCAGCTACTTGCAGCCTCAACGTTAGTTCAACATCTGTTAAAATTCAGAGTTACGGCCATTTTTGTTTAGCAAAGGACGCTTAGCAGCGGTGGCCATCTTAAATCGCATTGACTCCAAAAGTTAAAGCGTTCTAGATGTGATGCCACTGATTACACTCTGAGAGTTCCATCAAAATCCAGCCACCGATTCACGAGATATTTTGCTAATAGGAAGACAAACAATCATATTCACAGACTCATGAATTGCATGAAATTGGCTCTAGGCAAATATTACTTAAAGTCATGTACAGATTACAAAGTTGATCCTTGAAGTGTATGTAAAAACAGATGGTCAGTGTGTTTTTGTTAAAAATGTGTAGAATAAATGTAGACTAGTAACCTAAAACCATCTGTTTATGCCTATTATTTAAGGAAAAAGGAAAAAGTTGTGCATTTGTGTCAGTTTTCTTCATAATAAACCAACCTTTGATGAGCTGCTCTGGTCGGGATCCTGGTAGAGTCCACATGGCGGGAGCCAGGTGACCAAACACTGCAGCGTCGACTGCTGAAAGCCTTGAGCCCATCATGTACTTCTTATCACCTTAGACAGACAAAACACGTCAAGTAAGAAAATGAAAATAAAAACAATTCTTTTCTCTTTAAACAATCGGTTTTTAAGTGTTTTATACGAAATGCTGCAATCGCATTGCTCCACAAAACTTAACAATAAAAAAAACAGATCTGAGCTTAAACCACAGTGAAGATTATGATATAAATTATGACGTCAGATTAACTTAAAATTTGTTTTGCAGCGCCATGTGTACATTCTTATTAGCAGTTCGAAAGATCACCACAAGAGGTCAGTGTTGAGCTACTAGTTTTCAGCTGTTCAGCACTTCTCAGCCATATTACTGTTCACCTACAGTTTGGTGTGGTAGATGCGGAGAGTGATCCCAAACATAATTCTGAGAACTTTGCACCATTGTTTAAATATTTTTTTCATTTATTATAAAAGTAAACAGCTTGTCTGTTCGCAAAATATCTCATGAATCACTGAACAGACTTCAATGAAACGCTCAGAAAATAATCATTGCATGTACATCTACAACTCATTAGCTTTTTGAGTATGTCCAATTCAAGATGGCCACTTCAGCAAATCAACCTAAGCCAGTAAAGAAATGGATTTACATTTGTAATTATTATTATTTTTTTGGATACTGAGCTAAAACTTTGTTTGCTAGTGGCTATTTTTGCTTCACAGTGTGAACTATATATGTTCAAAGGATGTGAAGTGGAATATCAAGCCCAGGAAAATCCCTGAACTCTTACGTTACACAGACATGCTGCTGTCTGGAACAACATATTAACAAAATCTTTACCTAGCAGCGTGGCCAGAGTGCGCATGTCCTTCTCCATCAGCCTGTAAACCTCCTCTGAGGAGAAACGCCCGATCCCGTGGCCGTACATCTCCCTTTTGACGATCCCGCACGTCAGGTGACTCAGGATCCACTTGAGCAGGTCGCTCAGTGGTCCGCTCACCGACAGCATCTCCTGGGTCTCCTCCAGGTTGTCCACCCACTGACAGTAAGCTATGGTCCTTTTAGACAAACGCAAACTTATCAAGTGAAATGGCTTCTCCTCTCACAGCAGGATCGTTTAATTAGTGGAAAAGCTGCATCTAAACATCTTTTTGTCAAATTTGTGGAAACATATTTTACTGCGTCAATCTGTAGAAACATATTTGGTGTTTACGTGAAATGTTTTTCCGTTCCTCATTCGACGCCGCCGTCTGAGACCAAACAGGAAAACTCTGAACTCACCAATAGAAGTGCTCTTCCACCATTTTGGTGATGGCTCGGGACACGGCCCTCTCCTGCAGCGTCAGACCCTTGTTCAGGCTCACGCCCAGTCGTTCCTCCAGAAACTCTATGATGAACTCAGTCCCAAACACCTGCTCCTGGTTGTACTCCACCCACGGCATCTTCCCCTGCGGAGAGAGCCTCCCATCGAAGTAGTTCTGGATGAGAGGAAGGAGAATGTGAACGAAGCAGGAAAAGGAAGAGACTGGTTGTACAGGTGTTGGTCATAAAATTAGAATATCATAAAAAAGTTGATTTATTTCAGTAATTCCATTCAAAAAGTGAAACTTGTATATTATATTCATTCATTACACACACACTGATACATTTCAAATGTTTATTTCTTTTAATTTTGATGATTATAACCGACAACCTTTGAAAACCCCAAATTCAGTATCTCAGAAAATTAGAACATTGTGAAAAAGTTAAATATTGAAGACACCTGGTGCCACACTCTAATCAGCTGATTAACTCAAAACATTTGCAAAGGCCTTTAAATGGTCTCTCAGTCTAGTTCTGTAGGCTACACGCTCATGGGGAAGACTGCTGACTTGACAGTTGTTCATAAGACGACCATTGACACCTTGCACAAGGAGGGCAAGACACAAAAGGTCATTGCTAAAGAGTCTGGCTGTTCACAGAGCTCTGTGTCCAAGCACAATAATAGAGAAGTGAAGGGAAGGAAACGATGTGGTACAAAAAAGTGTACAAGCAATAGGGATAACCGCAACCTGGAGAGGATGGTGAATCAAAACCCATTCCAAAATGTGGGGGAGATTCACAAAGAGTGGACTGCAGTTGGAGTCAGGGTTTCAAGAACCACCACGCACAGACAGATGCAAGACATGGGTTTCAGCTGTCGTACTCCTTGTGTCAAACCACTCTTGAACAAGAGACAGCGTCAGAAGCATCTCGCCTGGGACTGCTGCTGCTGAGTGGTCCATGTTCTCTGATGAAAGTAAATTTTGTATTTCCTTTGGAAATCAAGGTCCCAGAGTCTGGAGGAGGAGAGGAGAGGCACAGAATCCATGTTGCTTGAGGTCCAGTGTCAAGTTTCTATAGTCAGTGGTGGTTTGGGGTGCCATGTCATCTGCTGGTGTTGATCCACTGTTTTATGAGGTCCAAGGTCAACGCAGCTGTCTACCAGGAAGTTTTAGAGCACTTCATGCTTCCTGCTGCTGACCAACTTTATGGAGATGCAGATTTAATTTTCCAACAGGACTTGGCACCTGCACACAGTGCCAAAGCTACCAGTACCTGGTTTAATGTCCATGGTATCCTTGTTCTTAATTGGTCAGCAAATTCGCCTGACCTTAACCCCATAGAAAATCTATGGTGGTAATGTGAAGAGGAAGATGTGATACATCAGATCCAACAATTCAGAAGAGCTGAAGGCCGCTATCAGAGCAACCTGGGCTCTCATAACACCTGAGCAGTGCTACAGACTGATCGACTCCATGACACGCCACATTGCTGCAGTAATCCAGGCAAAAGGAGCCACAACTAAGTACTGAGTGCTGCACATGCTCATACTTTTCATGGTTATACTTTTCAGTTGGCCAACATTTCTAAAAATCCTTTTTTTATTGTTCTTAAATAATATTCTAATTTTCTGAGATACTGAATTTGGGGTTTTCATTAGTCGTCAGTTATAATCATCAACATTAAAAGAAATAAACATTTGAAATATATCGATCTGTGTGTAATGAATGAATATAATATACAAGTTTCACTTTTTGAATGGAATTAATGTTATAAATCAACTTTTTCATGATGTTCTAATTTGATGACCAGCACCTGTATGCTAATGGAAACTGTTCACTCTTACCACAGAGAAAGAAGTTAAAATAAACATTGTTTGTTCGCTCTGACTTAAGATAAAATAACGTCACCTGGTAGGGCAGGTCGACCATACGGAGGTAGGTCTCCAGTTTAAGGCAGAAAGGGGACAGAGAGGGGGCACCAGACCTGGGTCTGGAGAACTGGTGGAGGATGATGGCATCTTTAGAGTCCAGCTCCTCTTCCTTCCTGTGTGAGGAAAAGGCACAGAGTGATGATTTAAACAGACTGGGTGAGGCGGGACTGGACAGGTGAAACTACAAAGAACGGTGAAGACCGAGTACGGCCAGAAAATAATCAACCTTTTAAAATTTGAGCTTTAATAAAAAACTTGACAAACACGTTTTTGTTGGTCAAAACTATTCTTGCGGTGTTTAAATAAATATGAAACATAAACCATTGGAGAGGTTAAACACTTGACCTTAAACAGATCAACATTAGTTGTTCTAACTAGAAAGTTCCTGTAGAAACTTTGACAAGGACTGCCACGTGGTGTAGCTAGCACTACACCAAATGTCAGCTTAATGTCTCTAAAATTGGATGACTTATAGTTTGTTTCAATGAGAGAAATGACATGTTTGTTTGCAAATTACATCGCCATGGTAAGTTGAAATGCCAATAAAAGCACACATCATGGTGCTGAGCTGGTCGTTTTGATATATAATTTGTGGGGGTACATGTTGTGGTTCGGGACGCATTAAAGTTGAAGAAAGTGCAGGTGGATAATAATAGGGGCTGCCTTTCTAGGCAAAGGTCTCAAACAATGATACGAACACACTGCGTCCTGTTTTGCAGAGTGAAGGAAACTTAATAAAACTCAAATCAAAATGTATAACATTATAACAGAGGATATTTCACTCCAGGTTCCAGGCTGTATTGAAGCACCTGAAGTCTGCTCTCTATTACAAATAAAAGAGTTAAATCGTGTTTAAATGAAAATTTCAGTCCTTTATTCAGTTTAGATGTTAGCTGTAAGTTCAGTTTTGACAGAAAGACAACAATGAAGTTGTTTTTTTAACATTCAATTAGGGATGCATGATATTGGATTTTTGGCCGATATCTGATAGCAATATAGATATTTTTTTCCTAAACCTACTTACAGAGACTACATAGCTTTCTCTGCTGTGGATTTAAAATACTACATTATTCTGCATGATCTTTGCCAGTCAAATGTATTCATGACATTTACTCTCTCTAACACAACGACAACACTCGAACAGCGCAAATTTGTAAATTTTCACAAATCTAAACTCAACCTGTTCACAAGCGACAAGTGAAAAGTACACGAGTAGTGCGTTAACAGATATACTTGACAGTTTCTTAAATTAAAAATGAACTTAAAACAGAAGCCTTTTATATTGTGAGTGTTGTTTTGATGGAATGGCCAATGTCTGATATTTAACTTTATCGTTAATATCGGCCGATACAGATACCATGCCGATAATATCGTGCATCCCTACATTCAATTATATTTCTGATCCAAGGTCATATGTTTTAAGGGCTTCTGTGTTCTGCATGACTCAAACTGTGTTTCCCAGCAAAGACAGGAAGTCTGTGTAATATGACACTGGGTTATGAGCAGAAATGTATTTTTGCCTTTGGTTAGCTCTTTAAACATGTCGGTGTCAAGACTAGAAGTAGCTGAACGAGCTGAATGTTGGACTTTGTTCAACACGAGGACTCGATTAAACGATTCGTCAACTGAGTGCTCATGTCTCCTGGTTTTCTCTCAGCCAAATTTGGGCTGAAATTCACAGATAGTTCAGACACATATCACTAAAATAATCCAGTTCTACCACACCAGAGTTCCAGGAACTAAACTGAGAATGTTTGCAGACACCTGTAATTAGCGATATACAGAGTCATTGTTTGAGAAATTTTTTATGGTCTATAGTTAATTATTGTTAATAATTATTATTCAGCTTTCTCTCAAATGTTTTAAATGTTGTCTGCAATTTGTTGCCAACAGTTGCACCACAGCAAGACATCAGCTTTAAACCAGATGCCACAGGGCTGAGGAGACTGAGGCTGCAGAAAGATATATCTACATCAGGTAAGATATTGTTTATAACATCCTGATGCATGCTCAATTATTATTGTTTATAACCTTTCTCTAGAATCTCCCTTCATAAAATTTGAGCTATCTGAAGATATATAAAATGCTTCAAATACCAAGAAATCAAAGAAGTGACTGACATCTACTTAATGTAATATTATCTGAAGTGAAGGAAATGTTGATGCGTAATTAACAGATGGTTGTTTTAATTTGGACCAGATTGAGTTTCCGACTTAATCTGGAACAAAATGAGAATGCAGCTCTTCTTTTGGGAGCAGAGATTTAGATTTACGGTTTCAAATTGAGGTTAGTGTTAAAGTTTAGCATTACAGGTTGGGGCGGTTCTCAGCCGAGTGTGAAGCGTCTGTCAGCTCCTCAAAGTCTGAGGTCATGGTTCTCCACTGGAAACGGGTAAAATGGCCCCTCCGGGTAATGCGAAACTTGAACACTAACCTCAATTTGAAACCGTAAATCTAAATCTCTGCTCCCAA